GTGAGTGAGTGTGTGTGTGTGTGTGTGAGTGAGTGAGTGAGTGAGTGTGTGTGTGTGTGTGTGGAGGAACACACGAGGAGACAGTAACTCAAACACATCCAGTGCATTTGACGCCGCTCTGAAATCAAACACTGCAACTGACTGCAATGAAAGACAATGCGAGGAGCAGCTCGTGTTCAGAGACGATCCTGCATGACACAAAACAATCTGCAACACATGATGAAAAACCTGCCAAAAAAAACTTTAATAAAGAAAATATTAAATATAAAAAATATTATTTTAATACTAGAAACTAAAGAGCTGCTTTAAAGTGTTGAACTGAGAGACGCAACTTCTCCGAGGAATAAAATAATAATTATATTTACATTTTAATATTTCAAAAAAATCATTTAAAAAGATTTAAAAAGCTTTTAAACTTAATTCCCTTAATTTCTTATAAAATATTATTACTTATAAATTATTATTTTAAGATAGTTCAGCCACAACAACATTTGTCATTTTGACCTATATAGGCATACTAAAATTTGTTAAAAAAAAAAAACAAGGAAAATATAAAATATAAAAATAAAAACTAAATACTAAAATAAGACAGATCGGCACAGCCATACGCATCTTTAATTTTGACACTACCACTTAAGACTTTGGGGTAACTAGAAATCACGAATTTAATGTTTAACGCATTCAATTTGCACGGACCGAAAGTCACGCAGGAACACGCGATCATGCAGGTCACCCTTCACAAGATCTCACAACTGGATTCGACTAAGTTTGCAAGGTTTGTGCCATTAGCCATTCAAAGATTTGTTTAAATGATATAAATGCGTATTTGCTGAATGCTGACGACAGACGAGAAAGTATTATAATGTTTGCCTTTTTATTACTAATAATATAAAAGCAATCGTTATAATACTTTTTGTATACATTTTAATTCCTTTGTTTAACAGTTCTATCTGATTATTAGACAGACTTCTATCCAGAACTACGACGACGGCGAACAAGAGGGAGAATGTGAGCACTGTGCTCAAGCGGCAGCGCCGTCAAAATAAAAGTCCCACCTCGAACGCATTGGCCAAATATAAACACTTATCGGCTGATGCCGATATTTGAAAAATGCCAAATATCGGCCGATATATCGGCTATGGTGATATATCGGTTGACCACTATTTTGCATGATCACAAACCCCTATACTGCTGCGTCTCTGCCTGTTTGTCAGTATAATCGAAGCTCTAAGCATCTATTTCCGCATCTGCTGGTGTGTTTAGCTGTAAGAGCTGACTCTCACCCCAGTCGGCTCGCTCTCCGGAGGACGGCGCCTCAGACGGACCCTCCATGTCCTCACTATTGGCCAGGAAGTCAAAGCCCTTCAGAACCTCCTCCGTGTCCAAGTCATCGCTCATGTCAGCTGAGGAAGAGGAGGGAGACGGAGACACCTTCCTCCTCACCATCTACAACAGGAAGAGGAAGTGTGAGCGAGGGCAGCTGGTGTAACTGACATGTTCTGGAGCTCAGTGTTTGTGAGAGGCGTGTGAACGCGTGCGAGCGCTAACTCACGGTGGAGAGGTCCACGATGGTCTTGTTCTGTCCCTCGCTGTCTTCATCGTCGTCTTCATCGCTGAACTCTGCGGCAGCTTTCTCGATGAACTTGAAGGCTTCCAGCACTGAGGTGGACTCCGTCATCTCCGCTTTACTGCGGGTCCAATCCACAAACATACAGAGTTCAGACAGAGAGAAAGAAGACCAGTCATCATGCATCATGCTCGCATTTCACAGACACACAATCTAGTAATGCAAGTAGAGTGGAGGACAACAAATAAATAAAGGCTGATGTATCTTTAGTGAGTTAAACAAACAAACAAATAAACTTATCGAGGCAGATATATATTTTGGTAGATAAATAAATAAAATAAAAATTAGCCAACAGAGAGTTAAATATATAAATAAAGCTAATATGGGCAATATATCTTCAGGGAGTTAAATAAAATAAATAAATGTTGCTATATCTTCAGTAAGCCAAATAAATAAATAAAGCTAATATGGGCCGATATATCTTCAGGGAGTTAATAAAATAAAACAAAATAAAAATAGAGGTAATAGTAGATTATATATTTTTAGGGAAATAAAATAAAATGTAATAGAGGCTGATATATCTTTATGGAGTTAATAAAATAAAATAAAATAAAATAAAAATAGAAGTAATAGTGGCTGTTATATCTTTAGGGAAATTAAAAATAATAAATGAAATAAAAGGTAATAGAGGCTGATATATCTTTATGGAGTTAATAAAATAAAAATAGAAGTAATAGTGGCTGATATATCTTCAGGGAAAAATAAATCAATCAATAAATAAAATAAAAGGTAATAGAGGCTGATATATCTTTATGGAGTTAATAAAATAAAAATAGAAGTAATAGTGGCTGATATATCTTCAGGGAAAAATAAATCAATCAATAAATAAAATAAAAGGTAATAGAGGCTGATATATCTTTATGGAGTTAATAAAATAAAAATAGAAGTAATAGTGGCTGATATATCTTCAGGGAAAAATAAATCAATCAATAAATAAAATAAAAGGTAATAGAGGCTGATATGTCTTTCGGGAGTTAAATAAAATAAAATAAAATAAAATATTGCTAATATGGGCTGATCTAAGGTCAGTGATTGAAATAAATAAATAAGCTAATATTGCTTGCTCCATCACTGACCCGATCATGGTGGTGGTGCTGTCCTTCAGCGAGGCCGGCTCGGTCCCGTTCACCATGGGCTCAGTGCGCTTGTCTCCGGGTCTCTCTCCGCTGTCTCCAGTCAGACCGAGCAGCGCTTTGACCCGCTGAGACTTCACATCCAGGATGGTGTCGGTGTAGCCCACCTCCTGCAGGTACCTGAGCGGGACACCACAAACCTGACTTATCCAAACGCTTCAGACTGCACATTAACTTAAGCACTTCCAGTTTATAGTAAAGCACGGAGTTAATATTTATACAAATTCATAACCAAGCAACTGCAACCGTGACACTCATGATCTCAGCTGCATGGCTGCCACAAAAATAAAATAAATTAATATAAAGAACATTTCACCCTAAAATCAAATAATAAGAACAAGATATTCTAGAACAGAAACTATATTGAACAGAACCATTACAATATCTTGCATGATGTGCGGATGTATTACTGTAATCAGAATTTTGGAGAAAATGTGTTCAATTATCATGAAAATTATGTTACAATAATATTAAAAAACGTATTATAGGTCCTAAAATAGGCTTCACTTTCTATAAGCAAAACATAATTACTCGTTTTATTCTTTTAATTCTAGTTTTATTATTTCACTAATATATTTATTTTCAGTTTCCATTTTAATTTTAATTTGAAAGTTTTAGTCATTTTAGCATCATTGATATACTATTAATATTTTGAATTAGTTTCTATTTTTATACATTTTTGGTTTCATTTTAATTTAATTTCAAGATTTTGTAATTTCGTCAATTGTAATAAAAAAAATATGCCTCTAAAGTTTCTATTAATTTTGATATTAGTTTTAATTTTAGTTATTTTATTACTTCAATTAACTTTTTAAAATATTTTATTTCAGCTGTTTATTTAAAATTTTTGTGAGTTTTAGTTTGAAAGATTTAGTAATTTTGTTGTGTCTTTAAAAAAAATTTGTCTGTACAGTTTTTATTCATTTTTATGTTAGTTTTATATATTTTAGTACTTCAAATATAATTTCTTATTTAATATTTCATTTCAGTAAAGGTTTATTTGAATAATTTTTTTAAGGTTCGAGTTTTAGTTTTAGTTAAACATCATAACCTTGAAACAGAAGCATGACAGGTTAAGCAAACAACTTTACAGAGCCATTCCTGAGCGGATCGAATGCAGTTTCTCCCGGTCTATCATTCTCTGGGACGATCGACACGCGGTTAATTTCAAACCCCAGCGGGGAGAGAGAAGCGTCTATCAGTACAGTCAGTGTATGGATCACGTACCTTCAGTTAACCCGACACTCTCACACACACACACACACACACACACACACTCACACAGCGGTCCTGTGCTAACACTCCTGCGGTCTGATGTCTGGAAGGAGAGCGCTGGACTCGACTAAATCTTTAGCAGCAGTTTAAGAAGAAAACAAGAGAGAAAGAGCGAGCGATCGGAGAGTGTGGCGTCTCTCGCTGTACCAGCCTCTCTCCAGGCACAGGAAACTCAACGAGACGAACAATCCTGCATTCATTCAGCCTTACTGTTACTGACACACACACACTCACACTCACACTCACACTCACACTCACACTCACACTCACACTCACACTCACACTCACACTCACACTCACACTCACACTCACACCAGACACACAATCTAGTAATGCAAGTAGAGTGGAGGACAACAAATAAATAAAGGCTGATGTATCTTTAGTGAGTTAAACAAACAAACAAATAAACTTATCGAGGCAGATATATATTTTGGTAGATAAATAAATAAAATAAAAATTAGCCAACAGAGAGTTAAATATATAAATAAAGCTAATATGGGCAATATATCTTCAGGGAGTTAAATAAAATAAATAAATGTTGCTATATCTTCAGTAAGCCAAATAAATAAATAAAGCTAATATGGGCCGATATATCTTCAGGGAGTTAATAAAATAAAACAAAATAAAAATAGAGGTAATAGTAGATTATATATTTTTAGGGAAATAAAATAAAATGTAATAGAGGCTGATATATCTTTATGGAGTTAATAAAATAAAAATAGAAGTAATAGTGGCTGTTATATCTTTAGGGAAATTAAAAATAATAAATGAAATAAAAGGTAATAGAGGCTGATATATCTTTATGGAGTTAATAAAATAAAAATAGAAGTAATAGTGGCTGATATATCTTCAGGGAAAAATAAATCAATCAATAAATAAAATAAAAGGTAATAGAGGCTGATATGTCTTTAGGGAGTTAAATAAAATAAAATAAAATAAAATATTGCTAATATGGGCTGATCTAAGGTCAGTGATTGAAATAAATAAATAAGCTAATATTGCTTGCTCCATCACTGACCCGATCATGGTGGTGGTGCTGTCCTTCAGCGAGGCCGGCTCGGTCCCGTTCACCATGGGCTCAGTGCGCTTGTCTCCGGGTCTCTCTCCGCTGTCTCCAGTCAGACCGAGCAGCGCTTTGACCCGCTGAGACTTCACATCCAGGATGGTGTCGGTGTAGCCCACCTCCTGCAGGTACCTGAGCGGGACACCACAAACCTGACTTATCCAAACGCTTCAGACTGCACATTAACTTAAGCACTTCCAGTTTATAGTAAAGCACGGAGTTAATATTTATACAAATTCATAACCAAGCAACTGCAACCGTGACACTCATGATCTCAGCTGCATGGCTGCCACAAAAATAAAATAAATTAATATAAAGAACATTTCACCCTAAAATCAAATAATAAGAACAAGATATTCTAGAACAGAAACTATATTGAACAGAACCATTACAATATCTTGCATGATGTGCGGATGTATTACTGTAATCAGAATTTTGGAGAAAATGTGTTCAATTATCATGAAAATTATGTTACAATAATATTAAAAAACGTATTATAGGTCCTAAAATAGGCTTCACTTTCTATAAGCAAAACATAATTACTCGTTTTATTCTTTTAATTCTAGTTTTATTATTTCACTAATATATTTATTTTCAGTTTCCATTTTAATTTTAATTTGAAAGTTTTAGTCATTTTAGCATCATTGATATACTATTAATATTTTGAATTAGTTTCTATTTTTATACATTTTTGGTTTCATTTTAATTTAATTTCAAGATTTTGTAATTTCGTCAATTGTAATAAAAAAAATATGCCTCTAAAGTTTCTATTAATTTTGATATTAGTTTTAATTTTAGTTATTTTATTACTTCAATTAACTTTTTAAAATATTTTATTTCAGCTGTTTATTTAAAATTTTTGTGAGTTTTAGTTTGAAAGATTTAGTAATTTTGTTGTGTCTTTAAAAAAAATTTGTCTGTACAGTTTTTATTCATTTTTATGTTAGTTTTATATATTTTAGTACTTCAAATATAATTTCTTATTTAATATTTCATTTCAGTAAAGGTTTATTTGAATAATTTTTTTAAGGTTCGAGTTTTAGTTTTAGTTAAACATCATAACCTTGAAACAGAAGCATGACAGGTTAAGCAAACAACTTTACAGAGCCATTCCTGAGCGGATCGAATGCAGTTTCTCCCGGTCTATCATTCTCTGGGACGATCGACACGCGGTTAATTTCAAACCCCAGCGGGGAGAGAGAAGCGTCTATCAGTACAGTCAGTGTATGGATCACGTACCTTCAGTTAACCCGACACTCTCACACACACACACACACACACACACACACTCACACAGCGGTCCTGTGCTAACACTCCTGCGGTCTGATGTCTGGAAGGAGAGCGCTGGACTCGACTAAATCTTTAGCAGCAGTTTAAGAAGAAAACAAGAGAGAAAGAGCGAGCGATCGGAGAGTGTGGCGTCTCTCGCTGTACCAGCCTCTCTCCAGGCACAGGAAACTCAACGAGACGAACAATCCTGCATTCATTCAGCCTTACTGTTACTGACACACACACACTCACACTCACACTCACACTCACACTCACACTCACACTCACACTCACACTCACACTCACACTCACACTCACACTCACACTCACAC